AATGAAGCACAGTAAGGTGGCTATTTCTCCTTTGTAGATGGGGGAATTAAGGCACACAGAATATCAAGGCTGGACAGTGGCTGGCTCTGCTTCACTATGCAAAGGATGCAACACCCAAAATATCTGTCATTCAAGTAGAAATAAGAGGTCAACTACCTACTCCTAAGAGAGTTTCATTTTCAAATGGAGTCTCTACCCTGGTTCCTATCTGATTAATCTTAGACTTTCCCAGCTCCCCCAGTGACTCAGGTAGAATATTTTGTGAACTGCACATTAAGGTGCTGGTTTTTAGCTGTGCTGAAGTTTCTTTGCAACACACTTGCCCCTCATTATCTATGTTTAGCTGAATATTCAGAAAGCTTCCCCCCTCATCACCAATTTTTATTCTGTAAAACAGGTATTTTGTGATGTCCACAACAGTTTCTTTGATTTCCAAATGTGTCTCCAGACTAAGAAGGTTGTAGAACTCAGATAGAACTGATTGCAGCTGATTAAAATATTAGATTGCAAGAAACAAACATATTATTGGGGGGGGGGTGCTCCAGTTTGTTCCAGTGCCATTTGCTGGAAAGGAAGGAAGGAAGGAAGGAAGGTAGGTTGGATTTTTGGGAGCTGTCGGACCATTGCTTCCTATAGCTCAAGACAGGGGTGCTGAGGGATCTTGGCCCCCCCCCAAAAAAACCCAGGAAGGGTCTGGGCTCCCTCAATCTCCTGTGGCAACATGTGCACGCAGTGTGAACACACCACAGAATGTGCTCACAACACTCGTGCAAGCTGTGCAGCGGCAAGCCGGTGTGCGTGGCTCAAGAGCTATGCCTCCTAATAAAACCTGTCACTGCCTTCCACAACAGGCCACAGAGGGATGTTTGGGTTCACCTATTCCAACTGTAAGTTGAATGCTGAGCGTATGTTATAAATAATTGTTTTACCTGCCCTTCACCAGCAGCTATGAGGGTGGGTTACTACAATTTAGAATTCAGAATTCAAAACAGTTAAAACAGATTATAGTCACAAAAATTGTGGCGGGGGCACTGAAAACACACATTTCAGAGGAAAAGGCCAGTGTAGAGAAGTTTCTTCTGCAGACTAGTGCAGTAGTGTACAGGTGACAACACTGGAGGCCTGGAACAGCAGATCCTGTAAAACAAAAGAGTTCTGCAAGCAGTGGTAGATGCTCCAGATACAAATGTGAAGACAGTACTGTTAGATCCTGTCTGCAGCATTGTCTGGTCAACAAGACCAATTCAAGATTCCCTTCTCTTTAGCAATACCTGCTGACCTAGGGTTCTGGGTGGGCACTCTTTGGTGCATGGTGTGGCCATGGAGGGCTGCCATCTTCTGACGTGGCCAGGGGAGGGGATGGTCACCTGGTGCCACCCAACTCTGACTGCATTGGGCTCCCAGGTAAGGACAGGCAGTGCCTGCAAGCCAATCAGTCTTCAGCCCTCTCCATGACTATTTAAACGGGCAGCCAGGTGCAGGCCACCCTCTTGGCTGATCGTCAAGGGATTTTCAACCGACCTAGTCCTTAGGGGTCCACCCAGTGGGGGAGCAGGTGTGTTGCCTATGGACCTTGCTGTAGTTTACACCATAGCTTTCCAAACTTTTCATATTACTAACCCCTTTCCAGCCCTGAAAGGGGTGTGGGGAGTGTTCGTGCGACACCTACACACTGCAGCCGACACACTAACGTGTCATGACACACAATTTGGAAAGCTCTCGTTTACATGGTCACCATATTCGGGGACAGGGAGGAATTTTCTCCTGCAAGCAAACTGGCTGGCTTGCAGGTTTTTGCCTACCTCATCACAACATTGGGAGATAAGGCATGTGGCTGGATCCTTAGTCGCAGGAGTATCCTGTTAGCAGGGTCCAGAAGGGGTGACTCTGTCTGGGAGTCCATGGGGGAGGGGGACCAGTGGGCCAATACACGTCTCCCAAAGGCGACTCCCCAGCACCAGGTTCTTATCAGGTAGCAGGCAGGCTGCCTGATGCAGGATACATGCCCAGTGCCTTAGCCAAACCTACTCTTTCCTGTAATCAATAATGTTGTGGCTTAATTCAACCTAAAACCAGTTTCCTGTGTCCATTCTTGTGGCCCTCCCTGCACCTGCAGTGTCCCTGTGCTGGCAAGAATATAATTCTGTCTTACAAGCTGCAAGTGTTATCTAGTCTGAAATTTATTTGTCCCACTCCTCCTATGGCATTAAAAAAAATATCTAATGCAGGCATGGAATATTTAATTTGCCATCATATAAATGACAAATTTAATACACAAATGGAGATGAAGCACCCCAGCATTGTCACAAGGTTACCAACTTTCTCTTCTTCCTGTTTAAGGGTCTCATCTGACCACCCCAAAGCTGTGTGTACTGTTGCCTTTGTAGACCACAATCTGTACTGAAATCCAAGCCTGCTGTTAACTTCACTTGCGCTCTATTCTTGTGTTTGCTATTATTTTTTAACACTTTTTTGTGCATAAAAGCACTATCCTCTCCCTAGAGCCTGCCTGCAGTGAAGACATGGTCTGTACAACTGCAATTATTTAGAAGAACAGATGGAGTGAGGAGCAGAAAGTCTGTTAATAGTAATAGAAATGCTACATGTTAACCTGGACAGCACACGATGACAGTCCCATGACTACACGTTCTGTTCCCACCAGCTGGGCACCAACGCAGAAGTGAGAGATTCACAACAATAGCAAAACCAAGAACCCACCTAAAGTTAGAAATCAAATTCCTTCACACTTTTCAGTCTAGGTTTCCCCCCCACCCCACCCCCAGTAATCTCCTGCCTCATGGTCATTTCAAAATATTTTCATATTTAAGGTGTGGTGTTATAAATTTCAGCATGGTTGGCAGGATAGAAATTAGGCATGAATGTGTGAGAAGGAAGTACAGGCCAATAAAGGGAGCACAAGCATGGTAAACCAAGAATTTTATATCTCCCCCAATCACAATAATTAACTCTTAAGATTGTGCTGACATAATATATATATTAGCTGAGCAGCAGATTTGCTTGGGCTTTTTTTTTTTTGGTGTTTGTTTTTTTTGTAAGATGTGAATGAATCAGAAGTTGCTCCTAATGGAATCTAAAAGACAGGAAGGGACATGACACAGGGGCAGAACATCTGCTTTGCATACAGAAAGTTAAACCCCCGTATCCAAGCATGGCTGAGAGAGACCCCAGTCAGAAACCCTGGAAAGCCCCTGCCATTCAGCGAGAGAAGACAGGTCTGAGCTGGATAGACCAATGTTTTGAGTCAGCATAAAGCAAATTCCTGTGTTTGTAGGTACCGGTATGTCATGAGCAACATGGAGGTGTCATGGAGTGGTCAGATTTTGAGAAGGAATGGGAGGAGCTCAGAGAGTTGGAGCTGGAGAACCCTGGAGTGGGTCCTAAGTGGGATGGGGATGTGGAATCAGGTATCCAGGAAATATCTGCTTATGTAAAGTGCTTTACAGGCTTTGCTGAGCAACTCACCCCAAATCATACAACCGTGCTTTATGTTATATCCATGTATTCGAACACAAACACTTCTGTGACATCTCTCTGCTAAGAATATAATAGAGTTATATTTAGCATTTATATAGTGCTTTAGAATGCTCAAAAATGTTTTATGTAAATAATGTTTACAATAATCCTGCAATTTAGGCCAATATTATTATCTCCATCCTGCAGATAGGGGAAGGAGCTAATAAATGACTTGTCTGAAGACAAATTACTAATTACATTTCCCCCCTCCTTTACATCAGATTTACTGTTGGGAAGCTGCTAATTTAATGCACTAGGGAGGGGCACATGCATTTACTGCATTGTTCTTCTAACTGAATTACCCCTGCCCAAGGTGTGATTAGCTCCCCCGCCCCCTTGAAAAAGATGAGTATTCCTTTGTTCTTCTGATCTCCTTTCCCGCTCCTGTAAACTAGTGATCCACGCTCTCTCCAGGCCCAACCTTAACCCCCAGCCCTGAGTTTCTAAGATAAAAAAAAACCAGTCATTGAGTTATCTTAGAATTCACACATTTGAAACTGGATGCCCTCCTTGCAAACCAGTTTAAGCATAAAATGATTTTTAGTTTCATGTGTTAAATCTTTAGATTAGATTGTTAAAGTTTCAGAGACAGTTGCGATATCACTGCCTAATGACAGACCACTTGGATATTATGCAAGAACAAAGCTAAGTCCATGAAGCTTATGCCGTCATAAACGGGTTAGTCTTTAAGACTCTTAGTAGTTTTTTTGCTGCAAAAGGCTGTTGGCTAATCCTCTAGATTTTGTTATGAAATTATTCTGCTCATCTTTTACAATCAATCACTGTGTGTGACCAGTGAGAAGCTTAGGAACTAGTCTCTTGTGGAAACAGATTTAGAGAGCATTGAGGCTGCCCCCTCCCCCCGAGGATCTAGACCAGAGGTCCCCAAACTTATTTGGCCTACCGCCCCATTTTATTGGGGGGGGGGGAGCCTCAGCGCCCCCCTGGAAATCTACCTTCTTTAAGCCAACAAATTAAGCTTGCTGACTCAGTCTGATCCGCCCCAGGACTGGTGCTGGAGCCACAGCCCACCCGCCATTGGCCAAGTAGGCGTCTGCTGTGATCCACTTCCTGGGCCTGAGTGAAGCCCCAAAGGGATCACCCAAGCCCAGGAAAACCCCTCGCCTCAAGCATGTCTACCAGATCCAGGGGAGGCGTTGTCGCCAACCCACAATGGCGCCCGACCTTTCGGTTAGCACAGTGGCGTAGCGTGGGGGGTGCAGGGGGGGCCGGCCGCACCGGGCGCAACATCTGGGGGTTAGGGTTAAGGGGTGCAAATCCACGGGTTAGGGGGCGCAAATTACTTGCCTTGCCCCGGGTGCTGACAGCCCACGCTACGCCACTGGGTTAGCATCATTACACCAGATGAAACACGTACAAACAGTTTTTCTTCTTTCTTTCTCTGCTTTTTGTAGTGAAGAGCAGGCTGAAATACTTTAAATGCATAATATCTATATTTTTTACAGGGGAAGAAGTATGTTCTCATCATGGTAGATCCAGATGCCCCTAGCAGAGCGAATCCAGAATACCGTTTCTGGAGACATTGGGTTGTCGTTGGAATCAGAGTGAGTAGCATGTGTGTTTATGTTATTACATTGTTCATGAGGATGCATCAGTAGCTTTGGAAACACTGCCGAATTCAGATATACCTGGCTCTTTCCTCCATCATTATCTCACCTTACTCAGTGGTTAACAGTGATTAAATGAACAGTAGTTAATTAATTAGCAACTATTTTGGAGGAGAGGTCTGTCTACAGACAGATGGCCCTGTAGAGACATCATGGCCAGCACTACACAGTCATACCTCGGGTTGCAGACGCTGCTTCAGGTTGTGTTTTTTCAGGTTATGGACCGCTGAAACCCAGAAGTACCGGAATGGGTTACTTCCGGGTTTTGGCAGTCGCACATGCACAGAAGTGCTAAATGCATGCGCAGAAATGCTGAATTGCAACCCCCGCGCGTGCAGATGTGAGTTGCGAATACTGCGGGTTGCAAACGTGCATCCTGCACGGATTACGTTCGCAACCCGAGCATCCACTGTACAAGTTAGTGTCGGTGGGGCTGGGGCCACTATTGGTCTCATGGGTGGGATGAAGGGGAGATGGTGATATGTAAAATCACTCTTCTTCAGCTTTTGCTCAGTCCAGCCAAGGAGATTCTTTAAAGTGTTCATGAACCATCTCAGGAAGTGCATGGTCCTCTTTCTCCAAAGGCGTGGGAACATCCCTTATCTGTGCTCTGTGATCTAGCCCAGGGACTACAAACTACCTTTGAGCTCAAAAAAAACAACCCTATGCTTGTTGTCTGGGATTTGTATGAAAATAGAGAAACACTTTAGATTTGTGTAGATTTGTAGGTATTATCTGATATGGTTCTTCATGGTTGAGTTTCAAGCCAATGTGGCAGTGTGGTTGTAGCTTTGGTGGGGTGTGTATACACATCAACTTAGATTTGGTAAGGTTACAGTGAACCCAGATATCTTGCCAGTATATGGCCAGTACACTTGCAGATTATCAGTGAATTAGGTCTATATGATTCAACCTGTTTGCGGTCTTTCTGTGGTTTTGGTCTAACTGTGTTAACTCAGGTATGTCAAGTTTCAGGAACTTGCCCTCTATTCATGCAGAAAAACTATTTCAGGTGAGATTTGTTTTGATTAAATTAGCCTTTTTAATTATTATTATTTTTAATCTGTCAGGACCAGGTGCTTTGTGGAACATATTTTTAATCCCATTTTGGATTACTGCTAGAGTAAAAGATCTAATGATTCCAAGTTTTTTTCCTACTTTTTAGGAATGTTGTGTCCAGTGGTTCAGATTAATAAAGTTTTGTATACACTTCTTTTAATCCTCCAGAATTATTTTTGGTCTTTGGATTTTTTTACCTTTTTGCATTTAACACAATATATAACTCATTTTGTTTGATTTATGCATACTTGTTTGCTAGGCAGAATATTCATTATAATATCGCTTTATCTTCTGAAGTGAATTAAGTATCTGCAGGACTTCTAGAGATCTTAGTTCTGCTCTTTTTCTTAAGTCTTCTGTACACTCTTCGTGTGCATTTATGTTCAGTTTTAAGATCTTGTATTTCCTGAATTAGACTGGCATTTACCTTCTATTTCTCTTTTTAAATTTCCTTTCTTTTCACTTTTGCGACGCATCACACCTTTAAACTTGTCCCAAACCACAGTAGTTGTCTGTTCTCCCATATCATTAATCTGAAAAAAATCCATAAGTCTCTTTAAGGAGTTTCTCTTTAGTAAAAAAATTAATTAATTAATATCCAAGGGTCTAATTTCCAATAGAAAGGTTTAGGTTTGTGTACTCCCCATTGTATTCATGTGATAACAGTGGCATGGTCCAAGATATTAATAAGACCATTGTCCACATTGTGAACCTGAGAGATAAGGCCTTCTGTGATTAATAAATGATCCAATCTGGCATAATTTTTGACCTTGTGACATACATGTATACTTCCTTAGTTCTGGATTGGCTATGCACCAGCCATCAAAGTACAGTGGTGCCCCGCAAGACGAATGCCTCGCAAGATGAAAAACCCGCTAGACGAAAGGGTTTTCCATTTTTGAGTTGCTTCGCAAGACGATTTTCCCTATGGGCTTGCTTTGCAAGACGAAAACGTCTTGCAAGTCTTGCAATTTTTTTCCGCTTCCCCCCCTTTTTCTAAGCCGCTAAGCCGCTAATAGCCTTTTAGCCGCTAAACCACTAAGCCTTTAATAGCCGCTAAGCCGCTAATAGCGCTAATCCGCTAATAGGGTTGCTTCGCAAGACGAAAAAAACTGCTAGACGAAGAGACTTGCGGAACGGATTATTTTCGTCTTGCGAGGCACCACTGTAATTGTGTTTATGTAATTCAGTCGTACCTTGATTTTCAAACAGCTTAGTTCTCGAACGTTTTCGCTCCTGAACACTGTAATCCCAGAAGTGACTGTTCCGGTTTGCGAACTGTTTTTGGAAGCCGAACATCTGATGGGGCTTCCGTGGCTGCAGGAGCTTTGGTTTTCAGAAGTTTTAGAAGTCGAATGGACTTCCAGAATGGATTCCGTTCAACTTCCAAGGTACGACTGTATGTTGTAGAGGGATGTTCTAAAAGGAGGCAGTTTGCATGGGTTTTGTGATAGGTGAAACGTTCTGCATTTATCAAAATAATAATTAAGGACAAGATTTAAGTCACCACCTATCATCACCTTGTTTAAATGAGTGCAGTAATGGAAAGGTTTTATCCAGAAGTTGTTCTTGTTGAGTATTAGATCCATAAATAGAGCATAATGTCAGCTAGCAGTTATCTAACAGACCTTTTAGGATGATAAATCTTTAGGGTCACTCATAGAATCATAGAATCATAGAGTTGGAAGAGACCACAAGGGCCATCGAGTCCAACCCCCTGCCAAGCAGGAAACACCATCAGAGCACTCCTGACATATGGTTGTCAAGCCTCTGCTTAAAGACCTCCAAAGAAGGAGACTCCACCACACTCCTTGGCAGCAAATTCCACTGTCGAACAGCTCTTACTGTCAGGAAGTTCTTCCTAATGTTTAGGTGGAATCTTCTTTCTTGTAGTTTGGATCCATTGCTCCGTGTCCGCTTCTCTGGAGCAGCAGAAAACAACCTTTCTCCCTCCTCTATGTGGCATCCTTTTATATATTTGAACATGGCTATCATATCACCCCTTAACCTCCTCTTCTCCAGGCTAAACATGCCCAGCTCCCTTAGCCGTTCCTCATAAGGCATCATTTCCAGGCCTTTGACCATTTTGGTTGCCCTCCTCTGGACACGTTCCAGTTTGTCAGTGTCCTTCTTGAACTGTGGTGCCCAGAACTGGACACAGTACTCCAGGTGAGGTCTGACCAGAGCAGAATACAGTGGCACTATTACTTCCCTTGATCTAGATGCTATACTCCTATTGATGAGGCCCAGAATTGCATTGGCTTTTTTAGCTGCCGCGTCACACTGTTGGCTCATGTCAAGTTTGTGGTCAACCAAGACTCCTAGATCCTTTTCACATGTACTGCTCTCAAGCCAGGTGTCACCCATCTTGTATTTGTGCCTCTCATTTTTTTTGCCCAAGTGCAATACTTTACATTTCTCCCTGTTAAAATTCATCTTGTTTGTTTTGGCCCAGTTCTCTAATCTGTCAAGGTCGTTTTGAAGTGTGATCCTGTCCTCTGGGGTGTTAGCCACCCCTCCCAGTTTGGTGTCATCTGCAAATTTGATCAGGATGCCCTTGAGTCCATCATCCAAGTCGTTGATAAAGATGTTGAATAAGACCGGGCCCAAGACAGAACCCTGTGGCACCCCACTAGTCACTCTTCTCCAGGATGAAGAGGAACCATTGATGAGCACCCTTTGGGTTCGGTCAGTCAGCCAGTTACAAATCCACTGAGTGGTAGCATAGTCAAGACCGCATTTTACCAGCTTCTTTACAAGAATATCATGGGGCACCTTGTCAAATGCCTTGCTGAAATCAAGGTAGACTACATCCACTGCGTTCCCTTCATCTACCAGGCTTGTAATTCTGTCAAAAAACGAGATCAGGTTAGTCTGGCATGACTTATTTTTCAGAAATCCATGCTGACTATTGGTGATCACAGCATTCCTTTCTAGGTGCTCACAGACTGTTTGCTTAATGATCTGCTCCAGAATCTTCCCTGGTATTGATGTCAGACTGACTGGGCGGTAATTATTTGGGTCCTCTCTTTTCCCCTTTTTGAAAATAGGGACAACATTTGCCCTCCTCCAGTCTGCCGGGACTTCGCCTGTTCTCCAGGAATTCTCAAAGATGACTGCCAGTGGTTCTGAAATCACATCTGCCAGTTCTTTTAATACTCTTGGATGCAGTTCATCTGGCCCTGGAGACTTGAATACATCTAGACTAGCCAAGTATTCTTGTACTATCTCCTTAGTTATTCTGGGCTGTGTTTCCTCTGCTGAATCATTTGCTCCAAATTCTTCAGGTCGGGCATTGTTTTCTTTATCGGAGAAGACTGAGGCAAAGAAGGCATTGAGGAGTTCAGCCCTTTCTGTGTCCCCTGTTTGCATTTCACCATCTTCTCCTCTGAGTGACCCCACAGTTTCTTTGTTCTTCCTTTTGCTACGAACATACCCATAAAAGCCTTTTTTGTTGCTTTTAACCTCTCTAGCAAGCCTGAGTTCATTTTGTGCTTTAGCTTTTCTGACTTTGTGTCTACACGTGCTGGCTATTTGTTTGAATTCCTCTTTGGTGGTTTCCCCCCTTTTCCATTTTTTGTACACATCCTTTTTTAATCTTAACTCAGTTAAAAGTTATTTAGATAGCCACCCTGGCTTCTTTAGGCACCTTCCATGTTTCCGTCTCATTGGTATTGCCTGAAGTTGTGCTTTTACTATCTCCCTCTTAACAAACTCCCAGCCATCTTGAACTCCCTTTCCTTTTAGTATTACTGTCCATGGGATCTCACCCAGCACTTCCCTAAGCTTTATGAAGTCGGCTTTCTTAAAGTCGAGAAATTGAGTCCTAGTATGCTTGGCTGCTCCTTTCCGCTGTATAGTAAACTTCAGAAGAGCAT